CACGCATGCTTCGCTGCAAGTCGTTGGTTCTGCTGCTTGCGCATGATAGGGGTTAACTCGAGTGTGGCAGCCTCTACAGACACATACCAGACCGTCTATAAACATTTCTGGCAGGGGACTCGGCTCTGATCTGGCTGTGATTGTCGTCCTGCTGCGACGTAAAATAATTCCTGATGTCACTTGGGGGCTGACGTTAAATTGCCTCTTGATCAGCCAGATCATCCGAGTGGAAGGCTCGTCGGCGTATGAGGGTAAATAAGAGTGTTGTGGCTGCCTTGCTCGACGATAACCCCGAGCACAGGGGTGGGACCGGATTGCACACCTGTGAGACACGCTTGGCTTCTGATGCAAAGAAACGTGACACCGTGACTTTGAGAAGAACAAAGGGAGGGGTAGGTTTCAGGTGATAAGTTCGTGTTTTTACCATGCTATGAACAGACCCAGTCAGTCAACATTATTTTTATTTTTTGACTAGTTAGATGAACAGCCATGTGACATCTGACAGACAGCGTTAGTTTAGAATATTGTTTATTCCTGATGCTTCTTCTGTTTGAGAACAAATCTTACTAAAAATAGTATTGACAGTAGGAATCTGACTTACCTGTTGACCCCAAATGAGATCTGTTCTGAAACTAGCCACCACTAATTAGTTGGTCTGTGTACTATGCTGCGGTAGGCATCTAGAATGATCTAGTGTGGACAGTGCACAGTGCTGTAGCCTATGAGCGACGTGGAGGACACCGGAGAGGACGACCGCAGGACCTTACGATCGGCTAGAGGACCGGTATCCCACATGTCTTTAGAGCCGGAGGGTGATAGGACTGTTCCGCCGGCAGAGGGAGAGGCAGCAGCAGAGGAGAGCTAGAGCAGCCGAGGCCAGCAGGGCATTTGCTAGCGAGGCCAGTGCTATAGCAGCCATGGCTACCACAGCCATGAGCACGTCTGCGCAGCAGACTTCCCAAGCCGGTAGTTCCGGTACCGCCGGGTCCACGATCGTGCAGACCGTGAGTCAGTCCACTGGCTTAATGGCAAGCCAGCTCGCGGTGTTGTCCCCAGAGGATGTCGCCATCCAGCAGGCAGACCTGCAAGAGGCACAGTTACAGCAGGCATTAGGACAGATAAAAAGGGAAAAAGAGAATGATTAGAAGAAGAACCAGGATGCAACCGAGAGGGGCAGACATAGAGGAGTTAGAGATGATGAACCTGACGCATATGGATGATGATGTGAAGGTAGTTAGGAGGGCCCTGCTAGGCGTAATTGAGATGCAGGAGCATCAAACTACCATCCTTCAGGACATTCAACAAAGCTTAGCCGTGTTGGCAGGCCGTGCTCAGGCAGCACCATCACGAGCACGGCCTGGTGCCTGACCCGTGTCATATCCTCCTCTTTCTGTTCCACCGGTGACTGGGGTATCCCCATATGTAACCCATGTCAGGAGGGGTAACAGCAAGGAGTAGTTTACAGGTTCCTGTTCAGACAGTGTTCACTCCAAGTCTGTCACAGGTTGCAATCACCACGCAGCGTGCTGTCTCGCAGCCAGTGCAGCTTCAGGGCACACAGCCCCAGCAGCTAGCACAGCAACCTGTTTCACCGGGTCCACAGCCTGGAATGATGCAGGGACCGGGACAGACACAGTGGGTTCCAAAGACGGCCATCGCCGCTCCCAAACCTTTTACAGGGGATAAGAGAGGCGAGGACCTCGACACATGGTTGAGGGCCGTGCCGGTCTACGTCAGGTGTAAACTCACCTTACCACACGAAGAAGTGCTTGTGGCTGCTTCCTACCTGGAGGGTAGTGCAGCGACATGGTTGAGTGGGTTAGTGCAACTCCAGGGGTACGGTCATGACTTCCGCTCTTGGGCAGCCTCTCAGAAATTGGAGGACTTCCTAAGAATGGTGGAAGAAAGGTGGCATGATCCTCAGGAGGCTCAAAAGGCCACTGATGCGATCCTGACACTGCACACCCGACAGTAAGTCAGTAAGGGATGCGACCAACGTTGTAGAGCGTTTGATTTGTGTTCCAGGGGTACGCTATGACCCCCAGGTCCTGTTAACTTCGTACTTGAGATGCTTATCTCGGCCTCTCAGGAACCAGTTGGCAAAAGAGGCCAACATCAATGTGCACAACTTTCCTTCGTTTAGCAAGGTAGCCCTGGACCTTGAAGCAAAGATAGGGCATGGACAGACACCCACTGCGGAAGGGAAAAAAAAGACACTGCCTCCCAACTGGAAGGCGAAGGGTCGCTTAATGTTTGTCGACAATGATGGTTCAACCATCGAGTTGGACGGCAACCTCCAGGAGGGAGTAGGAGCAGAGGCAGGTGGCGATACTTCAGAGGGTGGAGTAGTCGCCGCCGTAACCCA